CCCCAAAACCCCAAAACCCCAAAACCCCAAAACCCCAATGCATAATTTAAAATCCTAGCAACATTCGATTGGAATGATAATTAAAATAAGTGATTTATGTTATTAATCTTGCTTTTGTAAGTTCTGTTTAGTCTATCAGAGTTACTTCTGTCTAGAATCCTTTCTTGCATAAGGGAGTTGCTGACTTGTCATCATGCTGCCTTGACTCATAGTTGTTGACATACCAGGCTGTTTATACAAACTTCTTTGATTAGATTCATCTTTCCTCATGGTCATTGTTAGTCCTGACATTTGAGAATTCTAATTCATCATACCCATACCTCCTTCATGTCCTATTCCACTTCCAACCATTCCCAAAACTGGTTATGATTCCGACTTTAATAAACTGTTTCCACCAGGAATAGGAGGAAGCTTTTAATCGCTCTCCATTTAACTTTGATTTCCACTTGGCTATCTCAGGAATTGCTGCACTCTCTCCTGGAGTTGTGAGATTTCGTAGTTCTGCATCTGAATTTGAGTCTGATTCTTTTCCATTTCACCAATAATACCCTCTAGATTATCCCCTGACATCTTTGGGTTGCCAGTCTGATTCATAGCATATTGCTGATAGTAATCCATAAGCATCTGATTTCTCTTGTTACCATTGTTACCACCCTTCTTTAGCTGCATGAAGGGTGTTTCCTTGTGCTTGGTTGACAGAGGTGCAGCCTTTTTGAGGAAGCCCTCAAGCTAGTTCTCCACCAAATTGGCGTTAGAGAGTGAGATCCCAGAAATATCTTTAAGTTTCTTTTCTAAAATGAGCACCTTCTTAGATATCTTTTGATTGCTGGCTCTAAGCATGTTACACTCCTTAATTAGCTCTGTATTTTCCTTCTGTATCTTGAGATATAAATCTTTCTTTTCCTTCTCCAGCTTGCTGTTCTTGTCCATGATGCTCTTGAGTTTGCTATTCATCCAGTTATTTTGTCTAATCAGTTCATCCTTGATGTTTAGTTCTTCCTCGTTCCTCTGAGGAGACATGAGATCTTCATTGTCTTTGTTTAGTCCTGTGACCTGTTCATCCTTGTGCTTGAGTTTCTTCTCAAAATGCTTCTCATAAAGTTAGCTCACCTTCTCAGGCCAGTCACTTAGAGCTTCGTTTCTAATTAATCCTCCAAGATCATATTAAAGCAACTCTAGTTTTCTCTTGGTGAATACTACTTCATCTTATCTTTGCTTGAGCTAATGCTTAAGAACATTAAGTTTATCCTCTGATGCTTTGAGCTTGTTCATTAGCTCTTTCTTCTTTTCGCACTCATCAAGCAATTCTTGATACATCTGCTTGATGTGCTTCTCTAAGTTGTTGATCTGCTGCTCCATTGGCAACTTCTCATCTTTAAGTGACCGTATTTTGTGATCAAGCACAAATCTAAAGTTTTCCAAATGTGTATTGATATTTCTTAGGTCCTTGATGCTCTTTTCCTTGCTCTTAATGACTTCTTCTCTCTCACCAAGTTGTTCCTGCATCTTGACTAATCTAGTATTACTGTCTAGAATTTTCTTTTAGAACTGTTCCTGCTCTGATCCCAACTTGAACTGTATTTCATCGCAATCTTCCAACTTCTTCTTCATGGTATCTCTGTCTCTAGCAAGTTTTTCGTGACTCTCTCTCAAGTCATCCAGATTCTTGCCTAGCTTCCCCATGTTTGATGAGAAATCTTCTCTTCTCTTTAAAAGCTCTCGTTCGTATTCCTACTCGCATTACTCTAAAGCTACATCAAACTTCTCGCCGTCTCTTTTCATATCATTAATCAATCTAATGTGATTCTTCTAAAGTTCCTCATACTTTATCCTATATTCTTTCTCAATTTGTTCAAGAGCTTCTTTGTTTTTGTCAAGTATCTATTCCAATTCCTTCTTATAATTCTACTTTGACTCTTCATATGCCTCTACTAATTTGTCATGCTACTTATATGCGTTTTCTAAAGAAATATAAAATATTCTATTCAATCTTACTTAGTTTCAATTGATAATCATCGTTTATCTCCTTCAGCTCTTTCTTATGTGCTTCAAGATTATTCTCAATAGTCTTGAGGAGATAATTTCTCTCATTTTCATGCTCCTCTTGCAAGTTCTTGTATCTTTGCTTCTCCTCTTCCAGTTCTTTTGCATTTTTCTCATTGAGTTTATTAATCTCTTAGGTTTTCTTATCAGCTATGTTTTATAGTTCTCCTTAGAATAATGACTTGAGGTTGTCAACTTTGTACTTAAGTTCTTGAATCTAGGAATTTTTCTGCTCAATAGCTTGTCTAAAGACTAGTGAAAGCTAATTCATGTTTAGGTGAACCTTGCATTTGTTAAGGTTTTAAGTCTTCTTCTTCTTTTGCAGGATTTCCTAGTGCTGCTGAGAAGTAGATGCTGCTATAAGTGAAACATTTAAATTCATATCAACACCATTGCACATCTCTTTGATAGACTGGATATACACAGTTCCATCCTCAGATGCTGAAACTATGCTTTGCTTGTCTGCTGATAATGATAAACTCACAATCTTGCCAAGATGCACAAAGTATTCCATAAATTCACACTAGTATTCAGATTATTAAAGTAATCCATTTGGATTAGCTCCAAGGTCTAATGCTGCTTGCTGCATAGGGTTTAGATTATTTTGCTTTCTTTTTAGAATAGGCCAGAGGTATACTCTGATGCTGCCTTTGCTGGTTCCAGCGAAAAGTACACTCTGCTGTTTGGCTAATAAAAGTGAAGTAAGCTCAGTATCTGATCCAATATATAATTGCATGTAATTCTTAATACCTCTACCTCCATCTGTGCTATATAGTGTCAATTTATTGTCAGAAGAAGAAACATAGAGTAAATCAAATTCTTCATCATAGCCCATAGCATGAATCTTCACATTTTTCATGATGAATTCAATCTTACTAGCCTAACCACCTGAATCATCGCCAGTCACTGATTTCTTTTAAGGCTTACTGTCTCTTGTGTAGTTTTCAAAGTTTGATGACCAGCCATAAGCACTTCCATTGTTACAAACTGACATTAACATGCTATCTGATTCATTCCATTGTAGAATCTTAACAAAACTAGGATGGCCATGTAGCTAGAACTTCAACTCAAACGTATAAGGATCTATAATCCAAATAATATTCCCATTAGCTGCTGCAAGATATTGCCCTCCATTGCTGTATCTAGCTGATAAGCAAATTCTAGTTTGAAAATCTATTGCAACTTTAACCTCATCCTCAAGCAAGTAATATATCTTAAGCTTTTCTTTAAAACCAACAGCTAATTATAGTCCCATTGGATGAATAGCAATACAAAAAACTTAATCTTTAGATCTATGTGATGATATCTGATTCAATGATCCAGCATGCAATGAACTAGTAGGAGCCATTTAATTGTTTTAGCCTTGACTTCCATTAGGACCAGCAATAGCTTCAGAAATATGCTGACTTCCTGCATATTCAAATACTCTGATGTATTTATCTTAGCCGACAGAGACTATTAAATCTTTGCTGACTCCGATAGACATATCTAATAAAGCACCCATAATGTTTCCTTTTGGAAATACTGGTTTGATTGGGAGTGTGAACACATTCTTGAGAACACTTAGCTGATGCAAATTAAGATAAAAAAGCTCAAGTCTTTCATCAAATCCGGTCTCCTCAGGCTCTTAGTGAGCTGACGCCAAATGATGGTGGTTATTCTCTTCTGAGATTTTGGCATTGATAACTAGATATTGCCTGTCAAATGATATTGACACAGAAGTGATCTCGGTGCAGTGAGGATCTACTTTAAATGTATCTACATGATTTATAGAAAAATCTCGCTCAATCTCATAGACTCCAATAAAGCCTCCATTTTTAGAGCCAACCACAAATCCCTTTTTATGCGCTGCTAAGCAAGATATCTATGCTTTACTTCCATCATCTACTTCCTCCTTATGTCCATTATCAAAATCACTATCTTTGTCCCCATCTTGCTTAACTGCAGATTTTAGATTTCTGATTGAGTTTTTAACTGAAAATGAAATATTGATATAGTATTTGACCACACCACTTTCAACAATGAAGAAGTTATTTTGGGTTGAGCAGGCCACAAAGATATTCTCTTGGATGAATATGCATTCCAAGAAATCATTTTCTCTCTCATGTTTAATAGGAATCATTTAATCTTTCATTTCCTTGAAGGCTTTATCTGAAGCATCATACATCTTTAAATAGCTTTTACCAAATGCTAAGAAGTGATAGTGATTTTTGGGACTTATAGCTATTCTTCTTACTTGAGGTTTAACTTCACTCACTCTAGATATTTTTTCTTTCTCGTATCTGAAATAGGAGACGATTAAATTACTTCTCTCCTGTGGTCTAGTTACAGTAATACAATATTTTTTGTAATTTGGAAGATATATTTGCTCAATATTTGATTCTTCAGTTACTTATGGCAGCACCTCCTAATCGTGTTCAAGTCTAAACCATCTTAGTCTAGATGGAATATATATAGAAGCTCTTGGTGTTCCACCTTGAGATTTCTCTCCAATAGCAACTACAAGCTCCTTCTTTCTCGACAATCCAACTTGCATGCTAGTGATTGTTGATGTGTAGTTGCTATCTTCTCTCTTGATGAAATCCATGCGTCTACTTACTAAGTCCATTGTGGCCAGATGTCTACCACTTGGGAACACTAGAGTATCCTCTGAAATAAAATGAGCATTTTTATCGATGACAGAATTTAGAAATCCAAATGAATGTTCCAGAGACAATATAGCGCCATTAATGATATGTTCATCTTTCTTTAAACCCCCAGTCGCTTGAGGTGAAAACATACGTTTGAATCTAACTTGCTATCCATTCAAATATTAGGTCTCTTCAACTGCCTTAGAGTTTACTGATTACTTTGGAGACAATTAGTCGTTTTAAGATCCCAAAATCTTATTACCTTAGTCTGATTGCATTGATGCCTTGAGATTAGTTGAAGTGAGCAGTCCTTTGCTTGGGGATTGAGATGCTCTAAATTAACCTGAATTGGGTTCGTCCATAAATAATTTCTTACTATTTCTTAATTTATTTTCAATAGATCTTATATCGCACAATTTTATCTGTTTCACTCTTGGGGTTTTGGGGTTTTGGGGAGATCGGAAGAGCG